AGCTTGGGTCAAATAGTAGCCATCAGAGGATTAGGACACCTCTAGTTCGTTTCAAAGTGCTAACTCAAAAACTGCTTAAGCCAATGAATGCCAATAATATTATCACCAGTAATGATTATATCATTAACATAAAGTAGCAAAATAGTAATACTAGCATCAGTATGATGAGTAAAAAGAGCAGAATCATAAAGGCTAGAAGTAAACCCAAGTTGTGTGATATTGGAGCTAAATTTGGAAAACCAGCCACACGAAGCTTGCTTAAGCCAATATAATGCACGTCAAAGATGACATACCATACTAAGAGGATGAGGACACCCCTAGGGATGTTGCATACAGACCCCCACAATCAAGTCACCGTGTAAGAAGGTATTCTTCACATACATCTGAAACAGTGGTCAACGGAGGTAATGCGAGCAACGGGAGCAAATATCTCCTCATAGTCAATGTCATACCCCTGTGTAAAGTCCTTGGCCACCAAACGAGCTTGAACCTTAGAACCATCAGAGTTGGTTTTCCTCTTATATACCCATTTGTTTTCAACTACAGTCTTTTTTAGGAGGCAAATCAACCAAATCTCAAGTATGAGTTTTTTTAATGGCATCAAGTTTTTCAAACATATCTTGATGCCAAAGAGGGTCAAAATAAGCCTCGTGATAACTATGAGGCTTATGAAGAGTAGTAATAGTGGAAAAACAATGATAATTATTAAGATGGAGAGGAGGAGCTCTAATCCTATTGGAATGACGAACATCAAAAGTAGAAGAGGACTTAGTTGTATCAGATGTAATGACAAGATCAACAGACAATCCAAATTCATGAGGAGCAACCATTGAGTTATATTCAGATGGATTGAATGTGATGGCATGATCAGCAAGCGGTCCAAGGTCATGGAGAGTTGTCGTTGAGTTATCACCTGATGAGCTTACATTACCTACATTAGAAGGAAAAATTAGGAAAAGATCTACAGATGGGTTAGTCAAAACAAGATAATATAAGGAAGTATCGGATGGGAATTTAGAAACACAAGTGAAGACCTTGTGTTCCCAGTACTGAACATGTTAGGAGACTTGAAGATGCTTGGCTGTGGAGTCATAGCACCGATAACCTTTATGTTCAATGTCATAACCAAGAAAGCAACAGAGACGAGAATGGGGTTCAATTTTTGTACGCTCATGAGGTGGGAGTAAGACAAAACAAATACCGCCAAAAACTTTTAAAAGAGAATAATCGGGTACTTTTCCATAGAGACGTTCATATAAAGATAGTAGGCGATGAAACCCTATTAATAGTGTAAACAGCAGTAAGGGCGGTTTCTCCCCAAAATGATTTTGGGAGAGAAGCAGAGAGAACAGGCAATGTCAAGAATTTGATGTTGCTTACGTTCTACATAGCCATTTTATTAGGAGGTGTAAGGACACGATTGATGACACAAGGTACTTTCCTATTTAAGTTCTTCACTGAATGAGGCAGCCTTATAGTCCATGGCATTATCAGAACAAAATATTTTAATAGTGTGATCAAACGAAGTTTTTATCATCTGCTTAAAATCACGAAAGAAACTAAGTAACTCAGAGCGACCATGTAAAAGATAAAGCCATGTGTATCGTGAATAATCATCAATAAAAATTATCAAATAACAAGACCCATCCTTAGTGAAGACAAGAGCAGGTCCCCAGATATCAGAATGAACCAAATCAAAAGGTACATAAGACAAAGAATCACTTCTACTAAAAGGTAAAGCTTTATGTTTGTCTAATTGACAAGACATGCAATCAGACGATTCAAATTTAACTTCTCCTAAACAACCACTAGAAGCTACAGACTAGACACGAGGTAAATATGTATGGCTGAGACGAGAATGTCAAATACTATAAGATACAATAGCAGCAAGAGGTTGAACAGAACATGAATTAGGTATATGCAAATATGTAAGCTCAAAGAGGCGACCAACTTTATGCCTTGTCCCAACAAGCTGACCGATCTTTTGATCTTGCATATCACACCCTTTCTAAGAAAAGGTTAAGATAAGACCACATTCAACAAGTTGACCAACAGAAATAATATTTAGAGACAAGTTACGAACAAGATATGTGTCATGTCCAGAAATAATAAGAGTAGAAATAGGATTAACATGAGTAATAGACATGTGTGAACCATCAGCAGTATATATATAAGGCACAAAATTTAAAGACTTCTTATGAGATACCAAAGAAGAATCAGATATCATATGATTACAACACGTTGAATCAATAAACCAAAAAGAAGATTTACCTAAGGAGACTAATAAGGCAGTTGAAGAACGAGATAAAACATTGGTCACAATTGTCTCAAAGTCAGCTATAATAAGAGAAGACAAAGAAGTTGCAGCGACCAAATCAGTGGAGTAGACCGGACGAGTCCAAAACGAGCACGAAAAACTGGTTGGGGGTAGGTCAGAACGTCGTCAAAGGGCGAACGAAAATTCGCCAAAGGATAGTTGGAGGATGGCCCGAAGCGATCAAAAAGTTGCTAGATGACGATCAGAAAATAGCAAGTGGATGATCGAGATGGTGATCACAACGTCCTCAGAGGACAATCAAAAGGAGAAGAGCCTCAAGAGTTCTGATGTGGAGGATCTCTTGCAAGGCAACCACATAAAATACTATCCTTGGCCTAAAGAATTCACAAACTTAGACTTTGATACCATGTAAAAGAAGAGAATTGAAAATTAATAACAATTGTATATTGATTTGGTGTAATTTATCATATACATAAGGAAGTTTATTTATAGTATAAAAAAATAGTGAAGTTTCATAGTCTAACCGATGTGTGACAAACAAATAAACATTAAGAGGCACTAACAACATAACAAATCATGAACAAACTCAAATATAACAAATCATGAACAAACTCAAATAAAATTTAAAGAACTCTAACTTATCATAAGATTATTGAATTTTAGAAAAAAAAATCAACAAATGAAATAATTTTCTTGCTAACCAAAGTAGTCGGTGATAGTGTATTAAAAGAAAATATTACATCACTAAATAACATTATTATTAGAGAAATTAGTGTCACACTAGTTTAGGGGTCTTAAAAATAAAATTGAACTTAATTGTACATGGGTCTACCATATTTGCCTACCAATTTTTAAAGACCCTAAAAATCAAATTGGGTTTTATTGAACGTGAGTTTACAAATTTTATTGGAGGCTTTAAAAAAAGTTCATTGAATATCAAATTTTTTGGGGGGCCCAAAAAATATAATTTTTAAAAATTTTATTCGAAACTTAAATAATAAAATTAGACTCAATGAAACATGTATCTAAAAATGTCATTTGGGGTATTAAAAATATACCTGGACTTAATTTGAATATTAATCTAAAAATTGTATTTAAAATTTTAAAAATAATATTAAACTTAATTGAACTTTATAAAAATTTGTCCTACAAAGTCGGAGGCCTAAAATGATTGCTTCAATAACGATCTCTGACACTAACTCATTTATTTAAAGTGGGTTACGTAAGAAATGATGAAAAATCGAAAGAAATAGGTTTTGTATGGGTTTTGGATCCGGAGAAAAAATCAAATAAACATGACACGTGTTACAAACATGAAACATCTATTTCTTTTTTTTATTTATGAAACATCTATTTCAGCGCCAACTTCAGCACAAAAAAGAGTGTGCGGTTGCTCCGATTCCCCTTGTTGATTCACGTGTTTAGGCCACGTAGACTTGCATGGGTGGCCCAGCATGTGTTACACACGCACGTATTTTGAAATGACGAGAATACCCTTTCCATTTATATCATCTGTCGTTTCTTTACACCCCAAGATATTCATTTGAGAAACTCTTTGGTTTACTGTCTGCCGTTTCTACCTCACACCCGCTTTATTCAATATAAATTGATTTTATGTCTTGCCCCTTTCATAAGTCTCCCTAATCAATTCAACCACAAGGGCATATTATGTTACTTGTTAGCTTAAACACACACACACACACTTATATATTTGTATATGTATATAGTGATTGGGCCACTTCAAATTGTAAGTATTGAAGCACCCCTTCCATCAACTAGAATGACAAACTTATCCCTCTATTAAGATGTTTTTCCATTAAGGAAAAAATCATTGAATTTCTTTTTGATTTTGAGTAAGTGAATTGGTATTTTGGTGGCTAGACGCAGCAGAAAATAATTATAATTTAACAGCTGTATCATTTGGTTTTTTTTTCTATTCTCGTGTTCACACAGTGAACGTGAAAATTATAGTAAATCCTGACCAAGAAGAATCATTAATACTGACTAAGAAGAATCATCAATATTTTTTTTAAGTGATTTGCTAGTAGTTATCATCCATGGCCGAAAAATTACAATACTATTTTTCAAGTAAGTGATTTGGCATTAGTTATCGTCCGTGGCCAAGGAATTGCAATACTTTTTTTGAAGTGATTTGGCAATAGTTATCATCCGTGGCCGAGAAACTGTGACAGTGTAACACCCCAGCATTTTGATGTCTTACGCTCTCAGTGTCCACTTGTGGTCAATGTGAAACGGCCGGCAAATACAACTTTTCTGCTTTTTAAGTAAGTTAAGATAAATGTTGATAAAAGAAATTATCTGCATTTCCTCTTTTTAGGTAGGTGAATTATGAACACTTATCTCATTGGAACGTGAAAATATTATAATACACTAGCTATATTGTACACTCGTCTTGTAATTTCAATATTCGAAAGATCATAGTAAACTAATATAGTTAATCAAGAAGTCACAAAACAGAGGTCAAATTCAATAACTGTATTGTAATTTTTCACATGTACACAGGCCAACATACAATTCTCTGTCATTCAAGAAAATCTAACTCATAATGTAAATATAGCTTTAAATTTTGGAAGCAATGGTGATTTGGTGCTTTCAATGTTATTTGACTAAAGATGGGAGTGCCCAACTTAAAAAAAATGATACCTGCCAAACAATGTGCATTTTATTGTATAAAAAGTATGCTCCATCTGCTTGGTTTTTTTCTCTTTCTCTCTCTTACTTCTCTCTCTCTCTCTTCTTTCTCCTGGTTTAACGAAGACTGACTGGGCTCTCCGGCATTGACTCGTTCTCCGGCACATCACTCCGGCCATATGACAGAGCTAGAGATCGGTGAGCTAAGCTGCACCTCATAAATTTCCCAGTTTTTTTCTGTTTTTTTCTTGCAGTTTTCATTCAATTCACGATTTATTGACCAAACAACCCACATAAGTAGATGATATGCATTTCACACAAAATCATATCTGATTCTTTAGAGATTTTCTGGGCTTTATTCCCCTCTGGTCATTTTAATCTTACCCATTTAAAATTGAATTAAATCATCCAATTCACTCAGATTCACCAACAGATTTGTTGTTTTGATTCATTTCCCAATTTTTTTATGCATTTTCCTTTTTCTTCTGATTCTTTGTGTGTGAGAGAGTTAATTGGTAAAGTTGAGTGCTTTATAGTGGTTGAGAAACACTTTGTTTTTGGAAAATGTTTTCTGGAATAGAATTTGCTGGCATTTGTTGCTTGGATGCCATTTCTGTTTTGTTTCCCACAACAAGTTCTTTAATTTCATATTTACCTCTGTATTAGATACTTGTCAAGTTTGGTAAAGGTTGTTTTGTGAAAGTTGTTATTGGGAGATTTGACAGGGTAGGTTCAGGCAATGAGGTTAGGAGTGAAGAAGAAATTTTCGGGTAAATCGCAGAACCCGGCAATTCGCAGCAAAAAAATTCAGTTCTTGGAGTTTAAGAAAGAGGCTTGAAACACAATAAAGTTTAAATTAGAAATCGCAAAGTGGAAGGAAGGAATTTTTGCGAGTTGCATGAATTCTAGGATGAACTTTGGGAGGGGGTTTTCAATTCCACAAGAAGATGGTACCCAGAGAAAGGATTATTGGATCCCTGTTACACCCCAAAAGCCAATTATGCCGATTTCTAATCCAATCCCAGTTGAAATGCAAGGGAATCAGCTGGGAAGAGCAAATTGGCAGGAATTGCTTGGAATTTATGGAGAACTTTTACAAGAGACGACGAATTTAAGTAGTACAGTTTCTAGTTCCAATCCAATTGAGCTAAGTCATCAAAATGGAGGCCTTTGTAATTGGGATGCTCCAGCTGAGAAAAATGTTGGCTTCAATGTCAATGTTGGTGGGCAAAACATTGGTTGCGACCGCACTGATGGTTCCCTAGTGCAATATTTTGGAAACGACAGAGGAGGTTGGAATAGTGATTATTTCAAAGAAGTGTTGGGTACGAAAAATGCAGCATCTGTGGCCTCTTCAAATGGAATCCCACACAAAATGAGCCACAATGAAGTTAGAACTCCTTCAAGTCCAATTCCATATTCTCAAGTTGACAGCCACTGGACAGATTCCCACCATGCTCATTCCTCACTTGCAATCCAAAATCGCACTTTGGCTTCAAATCGTAGGATCAATGGTTACAGCTTACCGCAGATGCCAAACAGTGAGTGATCTGAACTGTTTTGCTATTTGTCAAAAATGCTTCTCTTTTAGAGTTTATATTTATTTCAAAGCTGCTTTTCTGTTTTTGGGTCCAGAGAACTATATTGAGATTTCCCTTAGCCTTAGCCACTGCCTGAGGCCACATTGGACTGATAACACAGCACTTGTCAAAGTCAAAATGCTCACAAATATGATACAAAATTTAAATAGGTCATTAAATATATTTGAAAATATAATATTCTCTTGGCATTTGTCAACATGACATTATTTTTTCATCAAATGGAGTTAGAAGCAAGAGTTCCATTAGAAGGCTGTTCTTGTTCCTCCATTTATTAGAAACCAAGTTGAGTGTTGCCATTTAGCATCAAAAAACGTTGAAGAAAGAATCACAGTGAATGTTTGCCATGAGAGGACAATACACAAAGCACATGAAAGAATAATTTCACTTATGTTGTAACAGGCTACCTTTACATATTTAATATCGAGAATTATTTCAGAACAACAGCAGCAAATATGAAACATTGGTGGCATTATAGAATGATGTACTGTACCTCATTGTACATATCCATAGTGAATTAGATTACTGTAATTGGGAACAAAAAGTATAGAATAAATTCTTCCCACTAAAACTCCACGTGCTCCGTTGTCAGATGAGATATTGCATCGTTTCTTTCTAATTGCTCAATTATCATTTGATGGAAATAGAGCATTGTTTTCTCAGATGGATTTCCTATCCCTTCCCGGCCCGACTTCAACCTAAACTCACCACCAAGATCAGAAGCAGAAGCAGTCTCGAGCTTATCGACTTCCTTCCAATATGCACCGGTGACACCAGAACAAGGAAAGAAGTTGGAGAACTACCGGCTTGCCCACACACTGAATTTCTCAGTGACTGAAAACCATCGTGATGAACTCTTACAGAACATTGTGGACTCATCTGCTGCTACCATTTCTACACCGCTTGAAGAAAATAAAACAAATGGAGTTGAGCTGAACCAGACGCCACAGCAGAAACCGCCAAAAAGAAGAAAACATAGGCCAAAAGTAGTTGTGGAAGGGAAACCAAAAAGGTCTCCAAAGCCTACACCTCCAAATGAAAATCCATCAGGGAAAAGGAAGTATGTGAGGAAGAAGGTTCTCAACGCCTCAGTAACTCAACAGGCAGATGTTCTGAATGAGGTTACAGTAAATGCGAATTCTTCAGGGAAAAGGAAGTATGTAAGAAAGAAGGGTCTCAAGGCCTCAGGAGTTCCACAGACAGATGTCATGAATGAGATTACAGTTACTGATGTTGAGTCTGCAGCGAAGTCATGCCGGAGAGTGTTGATTTTTGACTTGGAAAATGAAACAAAAGTTCAAAGCCATGACAAAACTAGCAGTCATCAGATGGAAATGCATCAAGACTGTAGAGGGGCTTATAATTTGGATTCAAATTCTCAAGCCGCAGAGGAGCTCACGAGAATCAATACTGCATCCACAGCATCAGCTGCACAGATTGAGCAGCACAATGGATATATCACAGAGAACCAGCAAGCGAGAACTAAATGTAACTTTACCCACTCCACCAATCAAATGCCCACTGAATGCATATCATTGTCAGAACAGCAAGCACCTATGCGACCACCATCTATGATGAAAGAACATACTTTAAATGTCATTGGGAGGATGATGAACATGAGAAATGCCAATCAATGCCAAAGCAGTGTCAAGACTGGTTACAGTCAGGTGCATCAACACATCCCTGAAGGAGGAAAAAGCCAGATTTCTTTTGAAGCAAATACTTGCACAAATTTTAACCAAACAAGAGCACAGATATTGCACAGTGCCACTCAACTCCTTGCGAAAAATCCTTTCAATTTGGATGAACAAAGAGGATCCAAGAGAGAGTATTGTCATACTACTGAGCAGACGCATCCTCGTCTGAATTTGACGAACCCTTCATTGTTGTGCCAGGAAATGTCCAAGACACATGACTATAACAGTCAAAGCAGCAATCATGACACAGGTGGTTCAGAAACTCACAAGAAAAAGAAGATTGAGAGTAAATTTCATGCAAGCAAACCAAGTACATCTTTTTGCATTGAAGCTGTTAAAGATTGCTCACAAGTTGAAAGAACAGGCACAAATGGTGTTCATTTAAACAGTTCTACATTCCAATTTGATGGTGAATCATCATTTTTTTACTCTGCAAAAGAGAACACCTCCCAGAAGATAAACAGTTTGGACAACGAGCCTGCTGGCAACTGGTATCTCCATTCTATGGCTGCAAAGCCTAATATCCAGAAGCATTATACGTCATCTGAACTGCATTTACGCTCACAGATAGCAGAGAGAATGTCCAGGCAATCAACTCAAGCCGATAATCTCAAATCTCTAGCCTCCAACTGGAACCTGCTGTCATCAAGTCCACCTCAAAAATGCCCTACAACTGATCACATGCGAGAAATTGAAACTTGCCATGCTAGTATGTCAACAACAAAGCAGATTGCAGAACCAACATCCAAACAAGCGCCCAGCAAGGATAAAATACTTATGCAGTCCTCCATGAAAGCAAGAGGTATATTTTCAGAAAGCTTTAGAACACAGAATTTCAAGCAAGCAGTTCCCAAATATTTGATTGTTAATAATAACAGTTGTTTCTCTGGAATTTGGTGCAGGCTCACTGGAAAAAGAGAATTTCCTGCTTTCAATTGATGACATTACATACCGATTGAAATGTCTAAGTATACATCTTGGGAGCAACGAGATAGCTGGGAAAGAGCAAAATGCAATTGTTCTTTACAAAGGGGATGGCACAATTGTTCCATATCAGGACCTTGACCCTACCAAGAAACGCAAGCCACGGCCTAAAGTGGACCTAGACCCAGAGACAACTAGAATTTGGAACATCTTGATGGGGAAGGAAGGAAGTGAAGACACAGAAGCAACAGACAAGGACAAGGAAAAATGGTGGGAAGACGAAAGAAAAGTGTTCCGCGGACGTGTAGACTCATTCATTGCACGCATGCATCTTGTTCAAGGTACCAAAAAATTTCAAATATTTAGAATCGGTGTAGCTTCCAAGTAGGTCTCAGTTGGGTCTACATTTAAAAATATTTTAAATTAGGTCCCAGGGGCCAAAACAGTTGGTATGGCATAGAGTTATAGACTTAGCCTGCTACATGGAATGATGGTTGTCAATAAGATCAAAATACTCAGTTAAGACAAACAAATATGCAACTTTAGGAAAAAAGCAAGATATAGATTGGCCAGCTGTTATGATAATGAAAAAAAGAATAAGATGGAAACTAATACAGCTAGTAACTTATATCCAAGCATCTTAGGATTTCAGGAAGAAGTGAACATAGATAGCAGCATCTAGTGCATGGAATATGACTAAGCAATTCAGGCCAAAAATAAGTCAATACAAACAAACTGGAAAAATTATGTATTTTCCTTGGCCAAATATTAGCTTTAGACCCCAAAGGTCCATTAACCAGTGTGATCTCCATTAATAGGTGATAGCTGGTGTTGGGAAGGATTCTTCTTAATGGCTGCCTACCATATTCCTTGTCGCCGTCCTTTGGTTTGGCTAATACACCTTCAATGCTAACCAGTCTTTCTTTCTACCTTGTTCTCTAGATGTTTTCACTTAAAGGTGTTCAAATTTCCGATTAACCACAATTTTCTACCCTACCCGACCCTATTAAACGGCTAGCCGGAAAAATCGGGTAAGAATGCGGAAGAGTTTTTGGTCTTCCGAATAGGAATGCGAAATAACTATTAATTTCCTTATTCCTACCCTACTCTTTCCGCATTATTTATTTATTTATTTATTTATATATATAAACTAAAAACCCTAATTCCCTAACCATATGGTTTAAACTTAAAATAATTATTATTGTATTTTTGCAACAATTATGATGGATTAATGTTTATACTTTCTTGTGTTTTATTGTAATTGTTGTTGTAATTGTTTTAGGTTTTAGTGTTATTGGTTTATTGTGTTGTTAAATTAGTGCATGTTATTTAATTGAATTATTAAAATGATTCAAAAATTAATAACTACAAAAATGTTCACCCAACTTCCTACCCAATTAATTTAAATAGAAGTCGGGTAGAAATACCACACCTAAACAGGTAGAGTAGGTCAAGAAAAAAAAATTCGCAAAGTATCGGATAAGAATACGAAAGACCATATTTCCTACCTATGGGGTTAGGTGAACACCCCTACTTTCACCAATGCTATCGGGGTCTTAGCTACTCGCTTTTGAACGATCTTCTACCGCCTTCTGAGTTCTAGCCATAGAGTGTCTTTCAGACTGGGTTGTTGTTGTTGCCCTTGTAAGCAATCCTTGTTGGATAGTCTTACCTCATCTCAATGGAGAGTCATGTGTCTTATCTAGACTGCTGGCAGCCTTAGCTAAAGCCACAATAACATTGGGATCAAATGCATTATTCCTTGAACAAAGATGAACAGACACTGTTTGGGACATCAACTAAATATAGACCTAACTTTGACATTACATGCACAAATTGGCTACCCTCATATTCCAAGCTAGCCTAAATGTGTTACCACTGAACCAGACAATATTGTCCTTAGCCTGTTACTAGAATTTTCAAAACAAATAAATGCCAAAAAAATTCCTTCCCAAATCTCCATCTTGACCATTTTACTAAACTAAATTCTAATCCGATCAAAAGTTCTTTAAAAAGAGACAAGCACTTGGCTAGGATACACATCTCTACAATTATTCTGCTTGTGTGCCAATATGAACATAAAGACCAATTTTCTTAGACTTGCCTAGCCTTGTGTACAAGGTTTTATACTAATTTTCAACCTAAAACCAAAATGGTATATTTCACAGGAGACAGAAGATTCTCACAATGGAAAGGATCAGTTGTTGACTCAGTAATAGGAGTGTTTCTCACGCAGAATGTTTCAGACCATCTTTCAAGGTAAGTCAAGATTGTAACAATGTCATAAAGATCAAATGCCCTAGAGATATGGGCGCCAAAGGTTCAAGTGAATCGAGTCACAGAAATAGCCTCTCCACATGCGGAGATAAGGCTGTGTACATCTAACCCTACACAGACTCTACTATGGCAGAAGCATTGTGCACTGGGTCGCCCAACCAATGCCCTAGAGAGTAAAAGTTGAAACCATACAAATTGATTTCTCATAACGATTTTTCACCCTTTGTATGCAGCTCTGCCTTCATGTCTCTTGCAGCCAAATTCCCCCTTCAGTCAACAAGCATCAGCCATACAGGCTACCAAAATGGGATAACTATAGTTGCTGAAGAACCAGAGGTTCAGATACTAAGTCCAGTTGCTAGCTTTAACTATCAAGAAAAAATAAGAAGGCAGCCCATATACAACCAAATCTCTGTGACATCCTGTGAAACATCGGAGCACAGAACAGAAAATCTGGCCTCACAAACAGGAACTAGCTTATTCAATGAGCATCACAGGAGAGCAGATGAAGATGTCATTACATCACAAAATTCTTTTGACTCTTCTATTTTTCAAGCCACTGAAGAAATCAGATCCAGTTCAGGGTCCAACTCAGAAGCTGAAGATCCAACTGGATGCCAGCCCAACAAAAATTGCAGTCCTACTCTAAGTAGTGTTCTGCAGACAGAAGAAAAAGCTGTGTTCCAGGAATTTTTCGGTCATGCATTTGGGAACTCATTATCACATGAGAGGCACCTTCATGGGCATCAGCAATTGGAAATTCCAGAATGTAACATGCAAAATTCAAGAATGGACAGAGAAAATAACCTGAAAGTCTCTTCTCCATCTGCTTATCCCATCAATTCTGAGATTCTCCATATGCAAGAATCTATTGTTCCTTCCACTAATTTTTGGTTGAGCATGATGCTAGAATCAGGAGGACAGGAAGTAGAGCGCTTTGAAGAGTCAGAAGAAGACAGTATATTTTCTTTGCTTTCAGCTAATTCTGGAAATACAATGCCAAAAAGTGAATACCACATGGGAAACAGGATGGGACACATGGAAGAAAGTACAAGTAGACAAAGCGCTCAACAGAATAAAATGCCAACGGTTCAAGCATCAGCAGTGGTTTCAAGTGCATCTCTGAACATGCACCCCATACACCAAGGTGATTTACAATCACGGCCTCATACCAGAAATAATGAACATTCCATTAACAATCATCAAGAAGAGCGGTTCAAGAATTTTTATGTGGAAAGCACATCCATCACAGAACCCACAAGGCCTACTGAAGAACTGGCTAAAAGGAAAACCAGTTCTGAGCAGCAACTTTCTGTCAAGCAGAGGATTTCAGCAGAGTATAAGCAAAAATTCTGGGAGAATAAAGCAGTTGCAACAAATGCAAAAGGGAAAAAATATTCTCCAGGTGATCCAATCAACGGGGAAGGCACCAATATCGCAAATGCAAGAAAGAGAAACACTGAGGGCGAACAGAGAAAAGCATTTGACTGGGATACCTTAAGAAAGCAGGTGCAGTCCAGCAGTAGAAGAAGAGAAAGAAGTAAGGACGCAATGGACTCGCTGGACTATGAGGCAATAAGACGTGCTGATGTTAATGAAATCTCTGATGCTATTAAGGAACGTGGAATGAACAACATGCTAGCAGACCGCATTAAGGTATAAGTCTGAGTTCATATTTATTTTAATCACTTCTAATGACTCACCAATGGGACATTGCTCAAGAAATATAGAAACCCAAAAATTTTGCTAATATTGGTTGCACCATTCTTCAGGATTTTCTTGATCGATTGGTCAAAGACCATGGAAGCATTGACCTAGAATGGCTGAGAGATGTTCCCCCAGATAAAGCAAAGTAAGCTCTGAAGCTAATTATTGTATAGCATCCTTTAAAATGACTAGAAACTTGTAATCATGCACGTGTCTACAGAATTGTGTAATACAAAGGCCATCACACCTAACAGCCATAGATATGACACTTCCATCAGTTTTTTTTTTTTTTTTTTTTTTTGTAAATTCTATTATCTGACTCCCATCAATATTTTCCTGTCCAGGGATTATCTGTTAAGCATACGGGGATTAGGGCTGAAAAGTGTGGAATGTGTGCGGCTCTTAACACTTCATAATCTCGCTTTCCCGGTACAGCTCTTGGAGACTACTCTCTATCCAAAACATTGATGACAATGACAAGAATAATAAGTGGGAACTAGCACTAATTATAAACCTTCCAAATGGAAAATCAAATCTTATACTCAATTTTATTTGTTAGGTTGATACAAATGTTGGGCGGATAGCTGTGAGACTAGGATGGGTCCCTCTCCGACCCCTCCCTGAATCACTCCAATTGCATCTCCTGGAGCTGTAAGTAACATAAGCCAACTGATCAGCACTGAAATTTTTCGCTATACACAAATTCCAATTATGTTTTCATACAGGTACCCAGTGCTTGAGTCAATTCAGAAATATCTTTGGCCCAGACTATGCAAACTGGATCAGCGAACATTGTAATTTATTCACTCATTCCTAGACCCATCTATATCAATTTAAGGCACTTTATATTTTGTATTGACACTGAAGTTAAAAAGGTTGTGTCTACACATACGCCTTGGCATTCACCTACTAATGAACTATCCAACTGTAGGTATGAGCTACACTACCAGATGATTACATTCGGAAAGGTAAGCCATTATATTGAAGATGGAAACAATGTCTGACGAAAAGAAAGAATAGGACTCTTCTAAAGGCCTCATTCTTCAATGATGATGCAGGTTTTTTGTACCAAGAGTAAACCAAATTGCAATGCATGTCCAATGAGGGGAGAGTGCCGACACTTCGCAAGCGCTTTTGCAAGGTTTTGCATTCTGCCCAACAATTATGTGTGCCTAAAAGTGATTGCAACATGAAACTTGGGATCTTGACCCCTAAGTTCAAGCCCTCTAGAAGTTGCAAGTACCAGTAGTTTACTCATATGATCATGCCAGTGTGCTCACAAGACCTCAATTATATTATTTTTAGACTTGCATGCTGCTAGTGCTAAACAACCATCTACCCAAAAGCTTAAAGTGTTGGAGAGGGTGTAACTAGTGCTGAAAAGGGTGTAACTTAAGTATTTATACTTCAATACTCTCCCTCATGTGTAGGCTAAATTTTGAGTCTAGCATATGAAAATCTTTTAATAATTAAGGTGGAAAGAAGATTCGAACACAAGATCTCGTGCTCTAATACAATGTTCACCAATCATCTACTCCAAAAGCTTACATTATTAGAAAGGATCTAAACTAAATATTTATACTTCAACACATGTCAATTCATATATCGTCTGCAGGTCTAAATACCCTGAGATCCAAACTTTTGGAGCATAGACCATACATAATTCAGGCATAAAAGTCCAGTTCTCTAATTTTTCAGTCAAGAGAGATCTTAAAAGCAAAAAAAAAAAAGATAAATAAATAAATAAAGCAATGTTAGCATGAATTGATAAGATGCAGGAAAACTAAAGAAGAGACAAGGTCAATAGGTTAATTGCCTTTGTAATTTAGGGATAGGAGAGAGCAAATCCCTTCTTTAGATGATCTCCTGATTTGTCCTCCCCTGTTCAAGACTATATGCTCATTCAGATATGCTACAAAACATGATAATAGCAATGAACTCTGCTTGGTGCAGTGCAAGGCTTGCCCTCCCAGGGCCAGAAGAGAGAAGTATAGTGAGTTCAACTGCTCCCCTAGCATCGGATAAATACCCTGTAGTGCTCAACCCCATGGCACTTCCTCCAGCAGAAACCAACTTGATTAGAGAGGCAGAGTTCGTGAATGGCAAGTGTGAACCTATTGTTGAGGAACCAAAAACACCAGAACAACCCATAGAAATATCAGAAAGCGACATTGAGGATGCATTCTATGAGGATCCTGACAATATCCCAACAATCAAGCTCAACCTTGAAGAATTCACCCTGAATCTACAGAACTATATGCAGGAGAACATGGAACTCCAAGAAGGCGATATGTCCAAAGCACTAGTTGCTTTGAATCCAGAAGCAGCCTCTATCCCTACACCCAAGCTAAAGAATGTCAGTCGATTGCGAACAGAGCACCAAGTGTAAGTATCCAAAGTTCCATGAATAGCAATATTATAAGAACAACAGATGTTGTCTAATGTCAGTTTTTTTATCAGACACTATTCAACAAATTAACTAGAGTACAATTGATTGGTTAAGCCATTCATAACAATTACAAGGTCTGTACACATATATGCCTCCCAGCACTCTCAGTAAGTAAGGATGAAAACTGAAGAATGACCGGGTTTTTTTTTTGTTATACCTTGCAACTGCTATAAATCAAAACTCAAAAGCATTATAAAAGCAAATATCCTGCATGAGGCACAATAAATATTGTAATCCTGCTGCAGGTATGAGCTTCCAGATTCACACCCTCTCCTAAAAGAGGTAAGTTTTTCATCCTTTTTTCTCAGAAACTTTCTTTGCATGAATGCAACTTAACTTTATCACAATTGGCTTTCCTAATCCTATATTCAGCTGGATAGACGAGAGCCTGATGATCCAAGTCCATACCTTCTTGCAATATGGACACCAGGTAAATGCAAAACAGTACACAAGATGTTACAACTCTGCATACTACAAAAGTTGTCTCAGCATTGGTCCATAACGTGCCATGCAGCATTAGGCTGCAAGGAGCTGTAATATCTGGTTTGGATCTCACTATAACAAAAGGATTGTGCTTAAGCCAGACTACCATTTGATTGATATCCTATAAGTCACATTATAATCAGACTGAAGAATGCTATTTAATGATCTATTGGATCATATAATCTTGTACTCCACTAATCATCTGCGCCCAATTCGGCACCGTTCATACCAGGTGAAACTGCAGATTCAATTCAACCTCCTGAAAATAGGTGTGGGGCCCAAGGACTAGGAAATCTGTGCAGTGAGACAACGTGCTTTTCATGCAATAGCATAAGAGAAGCAAATTCACAGTTTGTCAGAGGGACTGTTCTGGTGAGGAAATCCTAAAGCTTAGATGCATAATCACAATCTTCACATGTAATAGTACCGTTGCTGACTCTAAATGAGTTTGTGTTGCTGATATATATCTCATCACAGATACCATGTAGAACCGCAATGAGAGGGAGTTTTCCACTCAATGGCACATACTTCCAAGTTAATGAGGTAAATCTAAATCTGGCTAAGCATCAGACTTTATCACTTGTCACCACCAGGATAATGATACTGGCACCTAACCAAATAAAGTCTGCATTTCGATGAGAACAAGAGAAAAAAGAATTTAATCCCATGCATTTTGAGGTCATTGTATTATAAAACATGATCTATGCATTTGCAGTTATTTGCGGATCATGAATCTAGCCTTAATCCAATCGACGTTCCAAGAGCTTGGATATGGAACTTGCCAAGAAGGACAGTGTACTTTGGAACCTCTGTAACGACAATTTTCAAAGGTAACCTAGAGACGGTTTTGTCATTAACAACCTGAAGTATTATTTTCTAACTTTGAGAATCAAGTTGAACAATGTCTTAAAATTCGTATTGTTTTCTAGGTCTGTCAACAGAAGGAATCCAATACTGCTTCTGGAGAGGTACAAAACGCTCCCTTATCTGCTTTACTTGTTTTTGCTCTTCTTATTGTTCAATGTTAAAGCTTCATTATATGACGACATACTACTCCACAGAAAAATTAAAAAAAAAAAATCGTGACATACTAAATTCTTCTTGATATAAATGTTAAACAAAAGCACAAAGGTTAAGGAGTTAATTAGATAGATTAGTCATGTAATGGCAAGAGTCTATAACAGCTGTGCAACATCTGTGTCATAATCTCATTAACTCTAACAACTGGTTAACTTAGCAAAATCCTCATATATGGCTGATACTTGTAAGCGAATTGAAAACTGTCCATCAAATAATAAGGGAGATATATAGAGGGCTGAATAGGACTAATGGCAGTTTTCAATTAAATTCTGAGCCAATAAGGTCACTTTTTAACAAATACTCAAATCAAGGGCAAGTTGATTATTTTAGCACATGGCTACTCACATTAGGATGATGAATAAAAATAAGTTCAATTATGAGTAGCTTTATGATCGCCGATTAAATTCTAGGTGAGTTCTGCTACAGTCAAAGCATATACGGTTGTTCTTGCAATGACCTGCTCACTGGGTCGCAGCCAGCCAACTGAAATCCAATTGTAGGTTTTAGTGAACTGGCTGGTTCCAGTTCTGTGAACCCCCTTTTCAGGTCAATCACTGTTTTTGCAACCCAATTTTTCTCAAATTTAATCTTCAGAGTAACAAATTTGTGTGAGTTCCATTATATGCAATTTAACTGATATCAAGTATTATTACACTTTGTTAAGCATTCAAACTCATACCTATATAATGACCCAAAAAAAAAACTCATACCTATAAGTTCATAGACAAGTATTAAATGATAAACAAGTATCCAATGAAGAATAAAGCCATCTCACAATATGCAGTTGTTCAGCCACCTTTAATGTAACCCACGCCCACTGTTTCCACCACCTAGGTGAATGTCACTCAACTAAATGGGATTTTCAAGGACCCCAGCTAACCCTGTGGACAACTACAAGGTCAATCCACTAGCCGACCAAGATAACCCCTCTCAAGACACTACCAGGAATTTCTTGAAGGTTTCGTAGTCTAACTTACAACCTATCCAGTCTCTCAGCTTATACACTTTGTAATAAGCTCACTCAATTCCTTAAAAGCTCCACCTAAAGTATGCCTACCTAACAATAAGTTGAATACCATGTGAGAGGCATATAAAGAGCACAACTAACAAGAATATAAAGAATTACACCTTGCTCAATTGAGTGCAACAACCAAAAATGTTGTATTCAAGGATAACATCTACATTGTTTTTTGACATAAGAATAAAATGGTCAAATGACCTCCAATCACCCTAAGGGGTCCTATTGTGAAAATAGGACAAATGGGACCCTTGACCATAAAAATCATCTGAAAGCACAATATTGCTCCTTATACTAAAAGATGTGGCAGTTGGCTAACGTATATTTTTTTGTAACTGACACGTCTAGTCAACTGTCTGAAGACCAGACTTGCATATTCTTTGCAATTCAACTTGGAACAAACCAGCCTAACCTAGGGACATTTGCACATGCCTGATATGTTGCCTTAACTAACCTAGGCACTACTCCCATTTGGATTGAAATCTGTTGGTTGATGAAGTTTGCCTTGCCATAGCTCGGTAGATTTTTTCCCTGAACTTTGAAGCCACGATAAATCACCCAATGTTCTTGAGGCTCGTACTTGGATTCCAAATGATGTTATCTTCATAAGTCATGAAAATTCCCTGATGCTCTCCTAGACCTAACATAATACAGTGAGTCCCATGGCCATAAAAAGAACAATCGCATGACATCCTTGAAGAATAATGCTTACAAATTCTAATTAGAGTTTACCTTGTTAAGAGATGCCATTGAAAGCACTTATAACCAATATTTGAGAAGGTATTATTATTTTTTTCTGCCTGATGTTGTTTGCCACACATTTTGCAGGATTTGTTTGTGTGAGGGGATTTGACCGGAAAACAAGAGCACCACGACCTCTCATGGCCAGATTGCATTTTCCCGCTAGTAAGTTGGCAAGGTTAAAAAATGAAGAGAAATAAAAGGTGGCCAAGATGCAAAGAGGGTTACCAATTTAAGGTACTAACCAAGATTTGTCCCTTCAAAGAAGAGAGAAGACAGCTGAGTAGGAAAACAAGATGGATGACTAACAAATTCTTGCACATTCTATTGCTCCTCCTCTAACATGAGGTGCATTTCAGATGTAATTCAGGCAGCAGAAAGAAATTTTCAAGTTAATTGGTGATATCCACCAATGAGTGGGCATTAGGCTGTAGATGATTAAAATTATAATTTTTTTTTCCAATTCATGCTCAAGAAATGAGCCATTTTTCAGATGTTAGCCAGTGTTAGAGAAACAGACAGAGGTCTCTTGAGATATAGTTAATACACAATCCCCCTACATTTGTGGAGTAGTTGCAAAAAGGCAGAAATTACATGAGTTTCTTCAAAGCAATGTTCCTCAACGTTTCTTCTGTTATTATTGACAGTGGAAAGCATCTATGTCCACCTAAATATAAATCATAAATATTCCAAAAATCAACTCTAGAGCTATCTTACAAGTATGATTGACGAATCATGACCACGATGGTTTCTAGGAGAAAAAAAATAAAAAGTTTTTAGGTAAAGTGCCCACCCTAGACAAAATTTTTTGCTCCGCCCCTGCTCTAAGCCATAGTTCATGCCTTCTGTCAGCAAACAATGTGTTATGTGCACAACAAAGACTATACGACATTTTTTGACATGACACGAATATTATATAATATATAGACATTTCATGTACTATCTACAGTTGCTTAAGAAGTTCAATCAATTTTTCCTTCTCAATCTTAAAACAAACTTCAATAGACCCTATTATCAGCCCCGTGACCACAGTATCCTAATTCTACCACCTTTACATCCTTTTTGGGCAACCTAAGCCTTGAGATACTGAAAAAAATACATTCCCCGTGGAGCAGGATAAATAAAACTCATTCCTCAATACAGGGATCTAGAAAAAGAAGGTTAAATTTCCAATAACAACTAATTACCCAAAACCAAAAAACTTAAAAGAGAAGAATCAATCCCGAATAACACAATTACAGGAGAAACTTTTCTCCTACAAGTACATACGTTACCATAAATCATATCCATTTCAAACTTCTAATAGTGGGGTGATGCTCCTTAAACTAAACTAGATACTGAATAAAATCATAAAGCACACCAAGTTGATTCATTTTTGTTAAAGTTGTAACTGGTTTCCAATTGGCATTTTCTTGGGGAATCTAAAGTAAACTCTTTTGAATTTACAATAATTGGTAGAAAGATTTCAGGTGTGATTCTAATGAAGAATCTATCAACTCCAACATATAGACAAATGGATGATGCTGCATGCCCATTTGTGAAATATGTATGGTTTTATTCTACAGGTTCAAAAGAAATGAATAAGTCAATTGAATTGCAAAAAGGCCCGAACAATGGTAGGGTGGATGGAGATGTTCCACAGCAAAATTAAATGTGGTAACTATGAGCATATGCTAATAACATAGGTATCGTTACAAGAATACAATAGGGAAAAGTCTTGCTACAACATAGCATTCTAGTGTGCTAGTCTACGTGGATGATGTTTATGCTAACAACCATGTGGTTGTAAAGCCAAAATGCAATGACAATGACAAAGAAACTGACTCCTGACTCCTGTCCTATTTTCTTCTCTGTGGGTCATAATGCATCTAGATATGAATGAACAAGACTGAATTCTAGAAGCTTGTAGTACACGTATGAATTCCTATGTACCATCCTTGATATAAAGGGGAGTTCCTGTTAAAAAATGAACTATATCTGGTTTACACTACCAAATTCATTAGGACACAAAAACAACTAACAACAAAGCAAATATAAAATAGGATATGACAAATGTTATGAGAATCATTAGCTTTTTGTCACTTCCCGCCTTCTAGAAGTTTTCAAAGAACCATATAATGGGGCTCCTTATTTTTAGTCTCACTTAAACAAACATTCTACAGAATAGTGGAGAGATAAGGAGGAGCCTAAAAAGCCTAGAACATTCTAGTGTATAGTACATACTTACATACACTTGGAAACATCCTAGGCCAAATGCCTACAAATAGAAATGAATTCTCAATTGCAACCACCAAGTCTCATGTTGTAATTTTTCTTAGGCAACAGACTACTATTTCTAATTTCAGAAAGCAAAAATTCTTTGACCAATTCCAATTTTGTAAAAAAAAGCACCCTTGTAATAATTTTTAAGTTTAGCTAAAACCATAACGCAATAAAATTAGTTATATTAATACAGAACACACGAATGTTTTTATAAACTAACGATTCATTATTTTGCACGTTGATCCATGTTTTTCTAATAAAACATCACCAACAATATTGACAACATAAACATAATCTAGAAGCCTTCAAAATCTACACATGAAAATTCAAAATATTTGTTTTCACTCTCACTTTTGTCTTTATTCGTAATTCTTAAAATCAAATTTAAACTTTAGTTAATGAATCAAGAATTTATAGATTTTCTAAACGACATTCCAAGTGTCGTATAAGAATATATCATCCCTCTAGTCTCTTGTAACACATTACAAATTGTCTTCATATATGTTTCTTATTTATACTAATGACGAATAAAACAAAAAACTACAAGCAAAATACAAAGATATCCCATAAAACCTTTAAAAAAATAACTTAAAATTTTTCATGAAAAGATTTAAAGATATTTTTTAATCGAGTCATAATTACCAACCTACATACCAGTGTTATGAAAAGCGCGCCTAGGCGCTCGCCTAGGCGAGAAGCGAGGCGAGGCGAGACTTGCTCGCCTGGAGGAACCCAGGCGAAGCGAACCTGAGCGAGGCGAGAAAAAAGCGAGGAAAAGCGAAAAAGCGAAGAAGCGAAAAAAGCGAAGAAGCGATCGCTTTTGTTATGCGAGGCGAATTTTTAATTTAGACCGTAGGATTGGGCGATTGCAAAAAAAATTTTAAGATGTTAATGTACCGAATTATTCCCTTATCCTATAAATAAAACTCCTAACCTAATTTTGTTAAATTTTTTACAGATACCTTCAGTCGGTGCTGCCTGCTACACGATCGATCGGTGCTGCCTGCTACACGATCGATCGGTGCTGCTCTCCCCTGCTTCAATCGGTGCTGCCTGCTACACGATCGATCGGTGCTGCTCTCCCCTGCTTCAATCGGTGCTGCCTGCTACACGATCGATCGGTGCTGCCTGCTACACGATCGATCGGTGCTGCTCTCCCCTGCTTCAATCGCTGCTGCTTCGATCAGTGCTGCTCTCCACTGCTACACGATCGATCGGTGCTCCTCTCCACTGCTACACGACGGATTTGGTGCTGCTCTCCACTGCTGCTCTCCACTGCTACACGATCGGTACTGTTCTCCAGTGCTACACTCCAAGGCTTCGAGTTTTCGCTACTTGTACACCATTGTTGTTGCTGGACTGAGGGTTTGGAGGGCTGGTCTGTGGAGGTTAGTCTCTTCTTCTTCTCTCTTCAATTTTTTTTTCTTCTGTGTTCTGCTCCTTCACCGATTCTGGTTTTTTTTTTTTTTTTTTTTTTTTTTTCTTGATCTGATTCTACCTCATCCTGCTCTGATTCTACCCTATTTTGCTCCGATTGTGCTTCTTTTTTTTTTTCATTATGCGTCTGTTTTTTTTTTTTTTTTGCTTTTTCCTTATGTTGCTGTCGAAACTCCATTCTAAGGAGTTGCTGGAATGCTATTATTCGTAGTTGTCCGTATGTTACATACCGATATGTACCTAGTTTTGTTATTGTTGCTAGATAAACAAGACTTATTGTAATGCAGCTATTTGGTTGGTAACACCTCTCTTCAATGGATAGCTCTGTGGCACTGGAATTTTTTTTTAAATCAGAAGTTATTTTCATAGGTCAAATTATAACTTTTAAAAGTGAAGTTGCAACTGAATGGAGTTAATCACGATCGATCATGAAATGTTGTGATCGGTCATTAATACTTCTAAAAGACGTAACTTTTGTGATTGATCATAATATTTTGACATCGATTATGTCTTTTACAGTCGTAATTTACACCCAAAAAATTATAACTTAATCATAAAAAGTTGTAATATTCGGTCGTAGTCTTCCTGTCTCTTCAATAATGAGATAGTCACCATGCATTGCTTGAAATATTATTCACACAGATATATGTGAACTTCCAGCACTACAACATGCTAATTGATGTCTTTGTATAACCAATCTTTGCTCTCATTTATGGCAAGATTTTAAAGGCCTCTTGTGACTTAACAAACAAATCATGCATCTTATTGGTAATAATATGGTCGGAGACTGCATAAGAATTATACAAACAAATGAAAATGCAAGACTTAATGCATTCTGCTTCTGTCCAGTCAATATGAAATTGCTCCTGTGCTGCTTCAATTTTTTTTTTCCTCAGTCGTCTGTTTTTTTTTTTGTTGTTGCATTCTACTGCTGTCTTGATTCTGCTTCTTTTGTTGTCCTGTCCTGTCAATATAAAATTGTTTACAACTGATATAAAATGTGATTCAGTACATGTGAATGTGTTTTGTTCCTTTGATTGTAGTGTGATAGTGTTATTCATAAATGGCATCGTCGTCCGAAGGGAACAAAAAAGATCCGGCATGGAAATATGCACACTTGGTAAATCCTCAAAACACAAACAAGTTCAAATGCAATTTTTGTGGAAAAGAGTCAAATGGAGGTGTCTATCGGGTCAAGCAACACCTAGCAGGGAACTCTACGAGTGTTATTACTTGTCCAAAATGCCCTGCTCATGTTAGGGAGGAGATTAGAGAATACATGGCTAAAAAAAAGGAAGAGAAGAATCTAATGAACATGGTTTCCGACTTTGATGAGATGCCTAATGACTTGGAGGAGGATGAAGATGATATTGTAGAGATTGTTGCGAATCGTAAAAGATCCATGACTAGTTCTAGTCAAGGTTCTACACAAGCCACATCGAGACCAAAAAATCCAAGACAAAAAGGGCCTATGGATGTATACTTCACCCCTGATCCGACTGTTGTGGTGCAAAATCGAAAGACCAAGGGGAGACAAACGAATATTGATGCCAGCGATCCTTTTAGAAAAGAAATGAGAGAAAGAGCCATCACAACATTTGCCCGATGGATGTATGACACGGGAATTCCCTTTAATGTTGTGAACTATGAAAGTTTTGCAGCAATGGTTGAAACTTTTGGACAATATGGTCCTGGTTTGAAACCCCCTTCTTACCATGAGGTTCGGGTCCCATTGCTCAACAAAGAAGTAAGGCATATAAAGTCATTGATGAAAGATCACCAAGAGGATTGGGCAAAATATGGATGTTCCATAATGGCCGATGGATGGACTGACAAGAGAGGGAGAACCTTGATTAATTTCTTAGTGAATTGTCCAAAAGGGACCATGTTCTTTGAATCTGTTGATGCTTCTGCATACTCAAAGGATGGGCAAAAAATGTTTGAATTGCTTGATAATTTTGTAGAGCG